GAGAGAACTCGGATCCTGAGTTGTCTTGAAAATGAAGACCATCCCAGCTTGCAATTATCTCTTTACAGATTCAGTCCAATTTGTTGCCTCCTACGAATGCAGGCTATTGGGATGAGAACTGATGTGCCCGTAGCCCAGATCCTTAGGCACTACAGGCAAGGTCATAAATCACAGGGTTTGAGAATATAGAAATCACAGTCTGAAGGCGGCCTCTTACATGTGTCCCATTATAGGACTTCTTACGTGTGTCCCATTACAAGACTTCTGTTCAGCCAGACCTCAGGTGATTCCCGATGATGACTGTTCTGCAGTTTAGTGGTAATTTTGATGTGATTCTGAGATTATTCCATCTTGACCTGAAATCTCAAAATAGCAATCGTTTTAATTTTCTTCGATGCCATTCTCATAATTCAAGAAAAAAATAGAATGGAATTGCTTTTTACCAGGTCTTGCTCTACTAGTTTAAATCCCGCTGAGGTTTGGGTTTTGGTTGTGGATGTGTGTGTGTGTGCATGTGTGTTTCTGAAAACTACGCCCAGATAACATATTCTGAAAAGCTTCCATTGCTAAAGCATTGACCTGCCATCATTATCGATTCTCTTGCATTTTTTTCAGAGGTCATATATTCTGTTTGTTTGTTTTTTTCCCCACTCTTGCCCTATATTTTCCTCTGTTCATTGTAACGTTCAGGAAATTGAATGCCTTAAGAGAGCCATTAAATTCTTGAGATTTTCCTAAATCTCTCAAGAAACCCAGAGGAACTTTAAATAATAAGTTCACTATATCTTTTTAATGAGAAGATTAACTCCAGGGGCTCTATTCCCATTGGAATTATGGTAAATGTAAAACTGAACATTTATTCCAAATCTATCTTTCGATACAGTTGTGTTTTGAGCATCTTGCTCTTGCTTCCACACCATGGAGGCTGTGTCTTTTGTTCTCGTATATTAAAGGGGAAGATTCAGTTTCAAAACTGCTACCTATAACTGCTACTGTTTACTTCATTTATGTATAACTGTTAACATCAGACAAATTTAGTTATTTTTGTGTATTTTTTTAAAATTAATTAATTAATTTTTTATGGTGACATTGGTTAATGAAATCCAATAAGTTTCAGCTGTACGCATTAACAGTAAGGCATATATATGTTTACACTGCGTTCATTTCCCATAGTTTTGTTTCTGTTTGGGGGAATATAGAGAAGTAAACCATGAAAATGAGTGGTCATGACGCTCTTAAATTAGCTAAGGTGTTGAACATTTTTTTTCTTCCACTGGTAAGTTAAATTTACTTATTTGAATGTCCCATATACATGCATATGGCAAAGCAGTTAAATACAAAAAAAAAAAAAAAAAAAGAAAGAACGATGGGAAATAAGAAAAGATAATGTTTGGATTTTAATCCGATAAACACTTCAAGTTACAGGGGTGGGAGGAATTTGTAATTTGATCATTTATTCCTAACCCTTATCCTACACTTAAAACTCGTTTTTTTTTTACATTAACATCAAAATTTTATGCAACTTCTACTGGAACAATAAAAAAAAATCAATGTTTTAATTCAATTTGAAATATTTTTTTTTCCCTAAAGGATTAATTGCAATGTGTTATAACTACATATTTCCATGGGGATTACTCACCTGTCACTGTAGATATTTTAGATCTAACATAGTTCTCTTTTTTATTTCTTATTATTTCACTAATCTGGCAATGTTGTTTTTCAAGTTTTACCTATGGTACTCTAGAAATAATGTCTTGCAAGTGAAAGAATGAAGGCACCAAAAATATCATCTTTTATTTACAGAGGTAAAGTTATAGTATTGTGAACTGTTTAAAACATTTATTTTCATGTTTATCTAAATGTGAAAATATAGTTAAAATTTTCAAGTAAAATGTAGTAATAATCAACAAATTTGTATTGATTAAGTGGAAAAAGCCATTGCATATTTTAGGAAATGCATTGCAATATCAAAAAAACTAAAATATTATGAAGAAGTATCTGTATATTTGATAGGTTCACTTTATTTTATAAGTTTACTTTGATTTTTCTCAGGTATAAAGACTGTTTTCTGAGTAAGTTACTTCTATTAAATATTTAAGACCAATTATAAGTTACTGTTCATTATATTTCATATTCCAGATTAGAGTACCCTCTCTGCCCATCTCCAGTGGGCACTCTTCACCAAAGCCAGTGCCTCTGGATATTTTCTAATGTTGGCTCCAGAGATTGTGGATGTGAAGGCCTTGCCTTTTATGTCATCCAATTTTTTTTAAATGTGGAATATAAACTAAAAATAAGGTATAAGTGAAATTTCTTGATTTAAATTCCACAGTAGTTTATTCTTACACCTTGATAGATTTGGCATTAGCTACTATTAAATCCAAAGTGAGAAGTTTAAGAGACTTTCATGGTAACTTAGATTAAATTTTCAACTTCGATTATTATGTTTTATAAACTAAACCTTTCTTTCCATACGGTACAATGAAACTCACTCATTTTCTTTCCCTCTTCACACTAAGATCATCATTTTAAATACATCCCGAAGCTAAGGCCCGTATGTTTTCATTTTTCATACATGGAATTGCCTATGGAACAGGTAGATACAGTGCTTGAAGATACTAGAGACTCTACTTACAACTTTCTAATTTTATAGCTGAAACAACCAGAGCAGAGAAGTCAGAACTCAAGGTGCACAGCCCATTGAGGATTCAAAGTAGCCTTGCTGGTGTAGCATGATTATTCTCCATTTATTCCCATTTTACTGTTAACAGGTACCAAGGAAAACGAACACATGGCTGATGTTAATTTTACATTGGTTACTGAGTTTATCCTCTTGGGACTGACAGATAGTGCTGAACTGAAAGTGGTCCTCCTTGTGTTGTTTCTGCTTATCTATACCATTTCCTTAGTGGGGAATCTAGGAATGCTCTTTCTAATCCGAATAACTCCCAAACTCCAAACGCCTATGTATCATTTCCTTAGCAGCCTGTCCTTTGTCGATGCCTGCTATTCATCAGTCTTTGCACCCAAAATGCTGCTGAACTTCTTTGTTGAACGAGAGACAATCTCATTTTATGCATGCATCGTGCAGTACTTTTTTTTCGTGTCACTCCTTACCACTGAGGGCTTCTTGCTGGCTGCAATGGCGTATGACCGCTATATGGCCATTGTGAACCCTTTACTTTACACAGTGGCTATGACTAAAATAGTTTGTGTTGCCCTGGTCATTGGATCTTGTGTAGGAGGTATAATCAACTCATTGACACACACAATTGGCTTGGTGAAACTGTCTTTCTGTGGGCCCAATGTCATCAGTCACTTCTTCTGCAACCTTCCCCCGTTTTTGAAGCTGTCATGTTCCGACACATCTATGAATGAATTGTTGCTTTTAATCTTCTCTGGCATTATTGCAATGATCACTTTCTTGACTGTGATGATCTCCTACACCTTCATTGTCGCTGCGATCCTGAGGATCCGCTCAGCAGCAGGAAGACACAAAGCCTTCTCCACCTGTGCTTCCCATCTAACAGCTGTGACTTTATTTTATGGCTCTAGAGGCTTTAGCTACACTCAATCAAGCTCTCAATATTCCTTAAACAGGATAGGTGGTATCTGTGCTTTATACCCTGGTGATTCTGATGTTAAACCCATTGATTTATAGCCTAAGAAACAAGGAAGTGAAGGATGCTGTGAAAAGGGCCCTAGAAATGAAATATATCCCTTGTTAATATTTACACCATATGTACCCTAAATTAGTATACCAACAAATGCTTGAGATAATGATATCTATATGAATTTATTAAAATATTGATCCCTAAGGAATCTTAGAGTTTATGTAATTGGAACCCTCTGTTTTACAGTGGAAGAAAAAAGCCTAGAAAATTAAATGTCATAGTACATATAGCTGGCTATTGTGTAAACTAACCTAAAAACCATATGAAAACCTGGGTTAAATGACAATTGTTGACATTTCAATTTTTGCATGCAGGTAGAAATGTGAATACACACACACACACACACACGCAAATAGAAAGATATAAACAAAATTGAAATATAATAAAATTTCTTAACCCAGTTCTTATGTTGAGCACAGAAAAAAATAAAGTAATTTTCAAGCAAGAAGTATTGGTACTTGAATTATCTAATAAAACTGACAGATATGTGTTTCTGAAATTAGCCTGGACTATTTATAGTCAGATATACTTCAAAGAAATGTAAACACCCAAACATAGAAAGAAATCTTAGTTCTACATGACCTTTCCACTCATGGTTAGTCTAAATTAAATTTAATTTAATTTTTGAGTTTGTTTTTAAATACTGAAATAACTACAGGTAAATAGTTTAAGCAGCACCATGGGACATCTGAATGCTCTATAAATATTAATTTGTGTTTTTACATGGCAGGCTAGATTAAATTTCCTTCCTCTCACTGACAGCCAAAATCATATAAGTGAATGGCTTCAGTATCTGTGAAGTAGCAAATTGAAATGCTTATTATATTAGAAAATTATGCAAAGAAATTCATATAAAACTTGCCTTTCAAAATGAGAAAATGCCACTACCAACAATAGCACTGATAACATTATACAACATTTGTATCACCCTTCATGATTTTCCAAGATTATTTAAGATATTATTTGAAATTGGGCCCCATAAAAGCATTTGTATAAAAATTGAAATTTTCAGAATAAAATAAAATGATAATAAATAAAGTAAATTTTATATAGTTCTTTACAATTTCAAAAATATAAAATATCTTATATCCTACAATATGAAACTCAAAGAATGATATACAGGCAAGATAACTGAACTCAGAAAAATAAATTGAACTATTTACAATTTTAAATAAATTCTGTTACAATACACACCCTATAAAAAAGGGGCATGGCCTCCTGAGATGCAGATAAAATAACACAGTTTATTAAGTATGTATATGTGGGAAGGGGATTATTTTATGGAAAAAACGCTGACCTGATTTTGAACTTCATCTCAACAAATAGCTACTAAATCATGCTATTAAATAGGAACTAGATGCTAAAATGAGAAAAAAACCTCTCAGAATTCCGAGGCAAATGGAAAGTGTGTGGCAGATTCATAGAATGTAGATTGGAAAATAAGTAGTATATTTTCTATATCCTATAAGTAAATGAAACCACATTAAGTAGATTCCAAATGTCCTTAAATGGTAGATATAATTAGTTAATAGGAAACTAATGAGGGCTTCATCAATGAAATATCTGATGCTATTCCATCAATACTCACGTGAAATATCAGGACAAAAATTGAGTTTGGGCACTTGGAGCACCCATTCCTTCACCTCATACATAAGATCAGTTACTATTCAACCTCAACCCACAGAGAAATCAGGAATCAGCAGATGTTTATCTCACAAAACTTTCCTCTTCTCCCCCAGAGACTCTCTATCAAATATGTGTTAATTTTTTATTTTATGTGTGTAGCTTTGGAGTTTGTGATTTGGAAATTGGCCTAATTCATCAGGAAAATGGGCTGCATTTGCATTAGGGTCATGTTTGATGCTGACTAAGAAAAGACCCAGGAGCCAATGCAATGAATTTATATTCCTAAGATTTGGGATTTGGTCCTGTGCTGTGAGCACATTGTGATTTTACGAAACCCAGCTTTGATGACTATTTTCCGTCTTCTTAGGTCAAATGTGACCTGTGGACAAATTTGAATTCCCAGAATCATGGACATCTAAGGATCATACTGCCATGCCATTGAAACCCTATTCCTATATAGAATACTTTCTAAAAATTCTCTGATGGTTGTTTACTTTCCCCTACAAAACCAGCATTTATTAAATTTTACCAATTAAATGAT